GGACAAAATCTGCATACTTTTAATCACAGAGGAACTACTTCTGGATCTGGGAAGTGGATTAAGCTGAGAGGAAGATTTCAACTTCAGTGTTGCTATATGTTCATGTCATTCATCAGTATTAACGGCTGGGTTGTGGTTTGTCTGCAGGTGTGTGACGGGAAGGTGTCAGTTCATGTGATCGAAGGCGACCACCGGACCTTCCTGGAGGGTGAAGGTGTTGAGTCTATTTCCAGCATCATCCACAGCTCACTGTCTGAACCCAGAGTCAGCACACGAGAGGGCTAAACCTTCGCATAAAACCTCTTTTACTGTATTTCTGTATTTCTTCACCATATTTCCGTAGCTTTCACCTTTCACAATGCACTGTCGTTGCATGTTTAACCATTCCCAATCTCTTTATAACTCTCACCCACAAAATAGCCTTATAAAACGTCTTTTTTCAATATCTTGGATGCTTAGCACACTTTATTCCTCACTTAAAGGTTTATATTCCATGCTGGGAACAAAAACACATCTGTTTGTTTGCTTTTTGTGCGATAGTTCACCCAAAAATGACATCTTTAAGATGACATATTTTCAAAAAATGTAAGATATTGTATAGAATTGACTACCACAGTATTTGTTTTCCAACTATGGATACCAATAGCTTACATTCTTTAAAATATCTTCTTTTGTTTTGACTAAATAGTGAGTAAAGTTAATTTTTGGGTGAATTGTCCCTATATAAACTTAATCCATTCTATAAATCTACTGTGAAATCTTTAAACTCCACAGATTTCTGGCATGTGGGTGAATTGAATGCCATCACTGACTCTTGTCTAACCTCTGAAAGTCTGCTAAAGGTTCTATGTGTTCATCTACATTCAGTTTTCTTCCATTCCAACCTAATGATGCGGACTGCAATTCAAGGCTTTACTGTATACAAGTCCACATGTTAGCTGTTGGAAATCTAGTTACGCAAATGGCTGAGATTGCTGTTTACCAATGTTTGAGCAGTTACTGATGCTTCTGCAGTACTAGTTGATACTAGCTTCACTTGTTTACTGTAATATAGCGGTTTGGCTTGTTTTTGAATGATATTCGCCAGGTTCTCTTGATGTTGAGCATCTAAAAAAAATGGTGCGTTTAAAGAGAAAGTATATATGAAAATATTCTTGGATGGAATAAGCGTTAAAAGGGATAGTTCACCAAAAAATGAAAATTCTGCCATCATTCACTCTATACCTGTTTGATTGTCTGTCTTTTGTTCAACACAAATTCTTTTTGTTCCTATTATGGAAGTCAACACTCTTCAGAATATCTTTTGTGTTCAACTGAAGGAAGAAATTCATAGAAGTGTACAACCACTCGAGCGTAAGTAAATGCTGAGGACATTTTTATTTTTAAGTGAACTGGCCCTTTAAGAGAGCTGGCTTATTGACTTCTTGTTAATGTTTACGTTTAAGTTATGGGTTCATTCTGGAATGTTGTTACTTTAAAAGGATCTGGTATCTATGGAAGCTTGTTCCCGCCACTGAATAAAATAAATAAACAAATCAATACAATGTAAAAAAAATTATAAAGTCAGAATTGTGAATTTATAACTCGAAATTCTGACTTAACTTGAATTTCTGACTTAATAACTCGGAATTCTGACTTAACTCAGAATTGCAACTTTATAAATCAAAAATGCGACTTTATAATTTGGAAGTCTGACTTTATAACTCAGAATTCTGACTTAATAACTTGCAATCCTGACTTGATAACCTGAAATTCTGACTTAACTAGGAATTGTGACTTTATAAATCAGAATTCTGACTTAATAACTTGCAATCCTGACTTGATAACCTGAAATTCTGACTTAACTAGGAATTGTGACTTTATAAATCAGAATTCTGACTTAATAACCTGCAATTCTGACTTAAAAACTCATAATTCAGACTTAACTCAGAATTGCGACTTTATAATTCGGAATTCTGACTTTATAACTCAGAATTCTGATTTTTTTTAAATGTATTCAGTGTGGGAACAGGCTTCCATAGTTCCATAGTCACTGTTGCACAGGCTAAAAGCAATTAAAGCACTAATGTGAAATGCTTGGCAATCCCCAGTGAAACGTTAGCTTTGCTACTTAACCCTTGACCAATAACTGGAGTATTAATCTTCTGTTGATGTTTCTCGTCTTCTTTTTGAGGATCGTACCAACATTCCTTCTTCCTGCTGTATATGTTCTGGTATTAATTGGCTGCTTGAATATTTCATACAGTAAGTTGTAGCAAATTCTTCTGTAAGTTCATAGCGCAAAATCACTTGTTTTATCTTAAATCTTGTCAGAATGAAGTGTCGTTTGGTGTAGGAGTGCACTATGGGACGTACGAGTAATTTCCTAACAGTGACACGATTATTGACTATTCTGTCACAGCAGGAAAATATCCCTTTTTTAGAAAGCAAATCACTTTATTTCTGAGACTAATTCTCGAAGTCGGTGACGAACTGTGATTTCTTTCAATGTTTAGAGCAAAGCTGAAAGAGCTAGAGTTCATTTTTTCTATTTTTTGGTGTTATTTTCCCTGTATTTATTGTACTAGTTCAAATAAACAAAGTTATTACTAACATATACACATCCAGAGTGGACTGATTAGTTTTTTCTCCAGAAATATTGGATATTCTGAAACTGGCATTAATCTAAGTTTCTATATATTATTCAAAGCCAAAAGAGATTAAAAACATAACGGGTTGGACAATGAAACTGAAATGCCTGCTTTTAGAGCACATTAATTCATTGTTATGGTGTAGGTCAGGGGTCACCAATCTCGATCCTGGAGGTCCGGTGCCCTGCAGGGTTTAGCTTCAACTTACCTCAAAACACCTGCCTGGGTGTTTCAAGTATACCTAGTAAGACCTTGATTAGCTTGTTCAGGTGTGTTTGATTAGGGTTGGAGCTAAAATCTGCAGGACACCGGAGCTCCAAGAACACGTTTGGTAATCCCTGGTGTAGGGTGTCCTTTTACAGCCAATGCAGAATCTATTCGTCATAGGAATGACAGATACAAGCCCTGCACAGTGGCCAGAGGGATTTTGAGCCATTCTTCTTGCAGAATAGTGGCCAGGTCTTTAGATGATGCTGGTGGAGGAAATCATTTACTGACGTGCTCCTCCAAGACACCCCAAAGTGGCTCAATAATATATGGGTTTGGTGACTGTGCAGGCCATGGGAGATGTTCAGCCTCACTTTCATGTTCTTCAAATCCCACTGTCACAAGTTTTGCTGCGTGTATTGGTGTATTATTGTCCTGATACATGCCACCGCCTTCATTATACAATGTTTAAACCATTGGGTGCACTTGGTCCTCTAAAATGGTTTGGTAGTCTTTGGAAGTGCGCACACGTACATTTTCACAGTATTTCGTATAAAAATGTCTCGGAGAAAGTCTTATTTATTTCAGTTTGGATAGAAAACCATTTTCTTTTTTTTTTCTATTTTACACATTTTTAAGATCAATATTATTAGCCACTTTAAGATTTTGTTGTTTGATTCCAGACAAACCACCGTTATCCAGTATTGCCTAATTGACCTATTAAAGCTTTCCAATTAACCTGAATAGTATCTTACTTAATATCTAGAAGGATATATATGTATACACTCAGTAGAGATAAAAATTGAGGACTATTTATTTGTTAACTTTCTTCCGCCAAGAAATAATGTGACAAATCTGGGGCCACAGGACATTGCTACTGTCTCCTCCACTAGTGATTGCCTATAGTGGTTTTCCTGGGTGTAGGGAATGACATGGTATAGCAGCCAAAACCATCACTGATCCACCCTCATGCTTCACTCTGGCTGTGCAACAGTCTAGGGCAGGGGTGTCAAACTCAATTCCTGAAGGGCCGAATCCCTGCACAGTTTAGTTCCAACCCTGCTCCAACACGCCTACCTGTATGTGTCAAACAAGCCTGAAGGACTCAATTAGTTTGATCAGGTGTGTTTAATTAGGGTTGGAACTAAACTGTGCAGAGCTGCGGCCCTTTTGAAACTGAGTTTGACACCTGTGGTCTAGGGCATACCCTTCTTTGGGGCTTCTCCACACGGTAACTCACTCAGATGTGGGAAAGAGAGTGAAGGTGGACTCATCAGAGAACAATACATGTTTCACATTGTCATTTCACCGTCTTAAAATACTAAATAACTGTTGTTATCCTTTAAATCACTAGGTTTTACCCAATTGTCATACCTTAAAATATAATAATAGTTAGCATATCATCAAATCAAAGACCATAGAATACCTTAAAGTAGGGGTGTCAAACATACGGCCCGCAAACAGGTTTAATCTGGCCAGCAAATTGATTCTGTAAAGTATAAAAATAAGATGCAATTTTTCAATAAAAGAAACTGCGCAATGGCGCAAACTGTTACAAACTGTTCATTTAATCCGATCTTGATGCCTGAATCCGCATCAGTGTGACCGCGTTCTCGAAGAGAAAGACCACTTCTATGCCCTGCTATACCACACTGAGGTGTTTTCAAGAAAACATAACTATTTCACGTTAAGTCAGTTTAGTGGCTAATTCGTACGAGTTCAGTCGTACGAAAATATACAATGTAAAAAAAAAAAGAAGGCGTGGCACCCAACCACACCCCTAAACCCAAACGTCATTGGTGGATAAGCAAATCCTACTAAATTGTACGAATGAGATCGTATTCATATGAATTAGCCACTAAATCAAAAAGTTACAACTTGTCATGAGAGCGTGTTGTCCTCAGGCTCCAGTGTAATGTTTTTATGTTGATCGCATAAAAAAAAATTAAAAAATATTGTTTTTAAGTTATACTGTGTATACCATGATTTTACCAGTCAGGCCCACTTGGGAATAGATTTCCTTCATGTGGCCCCTGAGCTAAAATGAGTTTGACACCCCTGCCTTAAAGGGACTTTGATATAGTACATTTATTAATATTATTATTATTTAATATGCAATGTATATAAAAATCCCTTTATGCAACCAAAATAAAATAAACATTATTATAAGCCAATTTTATATTTCTATTTTTATTAAACAAAACTGAAAATCCGTAACAAAATATACTCGTCCACCAAATAAAAAAAAGTGGTCACGTTCATTTTTAAAAGCATCCCATTTAAAGATTTGAGTAGCTGTGATGTATTTTGTATACTTTTTTTGGCTTCAGAATAAAAAAATGTAAAAAAAAAAAAACAATATTAACATATTTACAAAAAGATGAAATTACAAACATTCAACAAGTTTAAATCCATATCCGCTCTTTACATTCGTACTCATGCATTGCATAAAGGCACAGTGTGATAGGGAGATGCATGCAGAGTATAAGCAAATGGCCAATACAAAACAATTCATGCTAACTGTCAAATCAGTTATACACGTAGCAGAACACAGAGGAATCGCGTACACTTTACAATAAGATTTCAGTAGTTAACGTTTACTAACATGATCAAACAATGAACGATAGATGTATTCCAGTATTTATTCATCTTTGCCAACGTTAGTTCCGTAACTGTTAGATCTTGTTAGCACACAGTGCATTAACTAAATGTTTACAAGTACAACTTTGAATTTTATGTATGCATTATGATTAATAAATGCTGAATTGTTTGCTCTTAGATCATGTTAGTAAATGCATCAACACCCAGAGTCTTAAAGTGTGAACGAGAAATCCTCTTTAAAGATGCAAGTGAAAATGCTTGGAGATTGTCATCAGGTTGTTTGTACGACTGGAATGTTTGGTTGTTTTAGTTTGAGGCTTGATCCAGTGTCGTCCACCATTTCCCAGCTTTCCATGAGGCTTTTAATGTTCTTCATCATCATCACCATCAGGATCATCTTGTGAATCACTGCTATCACCCAAACCCAAATCTTCAATGCCGTCATCATCGTCAGGATAATCATCGTCCGCCAAACGTTGCTGTAATTCCTCCAGCCCCAAAAAGCGCTTCAGAAGTGCAGCGAGTGCCTCAACATCACTGAACAAAAAGCCAAACTAACTTAATAACAGCAATTGTCAAGCACATTGCAAAAAAAAAAAAAAAAACAACAACTGAAGAGTGTAAAATAAATGTACTATACTGTATTATTTTCATACGTTCCTTTAAACGTCATAGCAATATTGTGAATTGAAATGAAATGATTAATTGTGTCCAGTTTTGTCAAGAATTTTTATTAATTATGGTGGCTTGAGAAAGCTAACGTACTGTTCCGCTACATTAACTTATTCTTCTTCCAGCTTCTTTTATCAAGAGTTCACATTTAGCTGATGATTAAGCTACTTTGGCATGCTCTCCCAGGAGATAGCCCTGAGTTTAAAAGGTCCCTGAGCCCGGGGCTCCCTCCAGTTGCAAGGCGAGGGGGGAGTTTAAGCTCAGGTGGATCTTGAGAACTCCCCTGCTTTAGTAACCGATGAACAGATAGTGATTTGCTCTTAAGAGATAACTACTTACTAGGAGCATGTCTATAGTGCCGATTTGGATTAGTCAATTAACTTAAGTTGCATGTTTTTGGACGGTGGGAAGAAACCCGGGGAAAACCCACGTGAGCACGGGGAGAAAGTGCAAACTCTGCACAGAAACGCCTGCTGGTTTTCTAAAGCCTGGAACCAGAAGCATTTTTGCTGTGAGGCAACAGTGCTAAGCACTGAGCCACCGTGTCACCGATCTTAGAAGGAGTAGGGGTGGATAAGGGGATTCTTCAAAACGAAGATAGCGTTGGAATGTAACCCAGGGTATTTGTAGTGGCTTAGGAGTCATCTGATTGGTGCATTGAGAATTATATAATGCGGATCCAGCCGCTAGCAATCATAAGCACGTGATCCTCTCGAAATTAGTTTATAAATAAACTTCACTCTGAGACTAATTTCTATATGCATCTCCTCCTAGCCCACTCATACTACAACCACCAAACTTACTCCAAACCTACAAACTGGCCTGACTCGGGTTGCTATGTCTTTTCCAACTGGTCCAACTTACAGTTTTCCGAAAACTGTCTGGGAAAATTCGGAAAAGTCCCATTGACTTAACGTTGGACCAAACTTTTTGATCACCTTTCAACCTCATAGCCACACCCTGGCAACCACTAACAGCACCCTAGCAACTGTCCCATAGACTTCCATTGTAAAAAAACTGCCATTGACTTTACATTAGACATACTAACAACATGCCAATTAATACAAACAATATACTAATCAGTGGCGTAGCGAACGGGCCCCCCGTCTGTTTCAACCTTAAAATCTACTACAATGATTTAAAGTTTTAAACTACTTTAGACTTTCAGACGAGGCTTTCTCAAGCTTTCTCTGCTTTTGCTGTTTACTTATTTTTTGATAGTAATGCATTCTGACGAATAGTTTAAAACAGATGCCCAATGTTGGCCCTTTGTAGCCTTTGATTTGGCCCACCATCCCATCTTAAAGTGGGTAAGAATGATAAAGAGGGTGTTTTATTGCTGAGCTACAAAAAAGCTGATTAAAATTAAATGTTTCAATGAAATGTTGTGAATGAATGTGATTTTTCTTAATGTAAAGAGTCACAAGTCACTGGACATATAGAGGACTATGCAGAAGACATCCGTGAGCAAATCAAGGTAAAAACTACTGTGACTCCATTCTGTTATGAATGAGATTGTTTTTACTGTGGTAAGTTCATCATAAAATGTAAATGAAATAAGCTGTATTACTTCATATAAAGCAGTGTTTTCTAGTTACCTTTCCATTTTATTAAATAAATTTAAAACATGCCCATGGCAACTATATTTACCTTTGGCCCCTCAATCAAGTTTGTTTTTTTTTTTTTGCCACGTTTCAAAACTATTGTTTATATTGTTATTTTTTTATTATTTTTATTTTAAAGTGTACATGATAGTTCACCCAAAATGAAATTGTACTTACTATTTACGCATTTAAAACTTTTGTTTCTTTCTTCTGTTAAACATAAAAGAAGATATTTAGGTATTTAGATATTTAAGTAACAGGTTTCCAGCTTTTTTTTTTTTTTTAAATATCTTCTTCCATAGATTTTGAACCACTTGAAGGTGAGAAAATGTTGACAATGGTCAGTTTTGGGTCAACTTTCCCTTTAATTCTTACACCAAAAATGTGTGTATTTTACACACACACATACACATACATATACATTATATATATATATATATATATAAACTTAATTACTTATTGAAATACATAAATTTCAATTTACCAATAATAGATTTGGAGTTACTAACATTTAAAAACATAGAAACTAATTAATAAAAATATTAGTACATCCAAATCTTTTATTAGTAACTAAAATACATATATCTAACCAATAAGAGATTTGGAGTTACTAATATCTTTTAAATATTAATTACTAATTATTAAAAACATTAGTAGCTCAACCTCTTATTGGTAGTTTGAAATATACACACTTTATTACTGAATAAATTACTGGGGGTTTTTTTTGTTGTTGTTTTTTTAACCGTATCATAGGACTCTGAAAGGAACTACTTTTCATACCTGCGTGACCCAAGTGTGGCACTTTGTGTAAGCGGGTAAGAGAAGCCCGTAGCCAATCGCAGCACTACCAGGTAACCCTTTCCAAGATACCTCACTCTCTCCTCCTGAACACTGACGTCCCGCAGGTGCCGCAGATCTAACAGCACTGAGCCGGAGAAAACAAACGCTTTGCCTCAGATATAATTCACAAAAGAAAAAATACAAATGATGACAGCTAAGGCTGAACTCACCTTTCTCGTGCCCTCTTTTCCACAGAGTCAACAACATGGTATAGAGACTGAAGGTCTTCAGTTCAATCTCGTTCTTGGATTTATTAAACACTGCCTCCTACGAGCAAAGCCACCCAGATTTTTAGTTATGACAGTTGAACATACACTCGCTGGCCAATTTAAGTACACATGTTCTACATAAATAATCAGCCAATCACATGGCAGCAGCTCAATGCATTTAGGAATGTAGATGTTGTCTAGAATAGAATAGAAATGTAAGTTTACTTCTATCAGGAATGATGGTCAAATGAGACTTTACACAGTTTATACGCTAAAAGGGATCGTTCACCTAAAAATAAACATTCTGGAGTGGTTGCAAATCTTTGAGTTTCTTCTGTTGAACAACAACGACTTTATTTAGAAAAACGCTGAAAACCCTTAACCATTGATTTCTATAGTAGAAAACAAAAACTATGGAAGTCAATGGTTACAGGTTTCTAACATTTTTTAAGTATCTTTCCTGTTCAATAGAAGTAAGAAAAACACTGATACAACCTATGACAAATCTCATGCTGAACCTGCAAATCTAGTTCACATGTTTTGGACCTGTCCAGCTTTGTTTCCTTTTGGAAGTCTGTTTTTGATTCATTTTCAGCAATTACATCTATTATATTTGATCCCTCTCCATTAATTAATTAGCCTGTTTGGAGTTCTTTCCCCTGACTGCGAGTTACCGTTTTATTTTTCTGAACTAATAACTTTTCTATCATTATTAGCTAGGTGGTGCATTTTGTTGCAGTGGAAATCTCCTCCACCCCCATCCCATACTCAGTCGATTAAAGACGCCTTATTTTTGTTAAATTAAACAAAGTCTTCGAGGTTCAGTGGTCAAATTTTCTAATATTTGGTTGCCATTCTTGGAGCATGTCAGATCTCTGAGATTTGAGGCGGTTACTGTGGAGTGAACGGTTGCCAATCTTGCTTTTTTGTTTTGATCTGTGCCTTCCAGATGAGTATTAGTGCTGCTGATATAGCACAAGCATACAACTCTTTCTTGATATAAAACCACAAGTTTGAAGAACGTGCCACCCCCCAGTCTATTTACTCTCGTTTTAATTGAACATAAAATGACAAATATTCAAATGATCTGCTGAAGCTCAAACTGAGGAATTGGGGTTGATTTAAAGGGACAGTTCACCCTTTTTAAAATAAAAATTTGGAATAAATAACATGATAGCATGGATCTATTCTGAGAAGAATTAAAGGGTTAGTGCGCCCAGAAATGAAAGAAAAAAAATGAAAAACAACCAATGTCTTCTGTATCAGATTATGGTGTGCGTTTACTACAGTCAATACTATTCTTGCATGTTGCGCTGCTAACTCTAATGGAGTCATAAACGCACACCCTGCTAACCTGACACATAAGAGAAGTTATTTGCAAACTGTTTTTATTTAGTCTTTTGTTATGCAAAAGTGTTTTTGGAGCTTCATATGATTACAGTTGAACCACTGAAGTGACATGGAATGTTTGGACCATGTTTTTGGCTCCTTTTCTAGACTTTGAACATCTTGTTGAACATCTATGGAGGATGAGTGTGCCGTTAGTTTCATCTAAAACATCTTCATTTGTGTTCAATTTCCTTCGGCTTAGTCTCCAATTTATCAGAGGTCGCCACAGCGGAATGAACCACCAACTATTCCAGCATATGTTTTACATAGCGGATGCCCTTTAAGTCGCAACCCAGTAATGGGAAACACCTATACACTCTCATACACTAATATCCAATTCACCTATAGCACATGACTTTGGATTGTGGGGGCGCACCCGGGGGAAACCCATACCAACACGGAGAGAACATGCTTACTCCATACAGAAATGCCAACAGACCCAGCCGGGACTCAAACCAGCGATCTTCTTGCTGTAAGGCGACAGTGCTACCGTGCAACCTTCATTTGCGTTCAATTAAATTGTGGCATTAGAATGACTCAAATGCGAGTAATTCATAACATAATATAACTAACCCTTTAAAGCCATTCAAACAAGCGGTCTAAATCTCGGTATAGGACAGGTGCACCTAATAAAGTGGCCAGTGAGTAAATTTCAAATATAAAGATGGATAAAGCATGTATAAAACAACTCCCCACCTCCCATTCCTCCATATTCTGCAAGGCTACAAAAAAGCAGCCCGTCACGTAGAACATCTTCCACAATATGCTGTCTACAACAAAAGGAAACAGATAAATGAGCAGCACAGATCAACAATAATTCTTCCTATTTCTGCTTTATTCACTTCCAGGGTAATCACACATTGAGGAAACGCTTCTCACCAGAGCTGTAATAGGCTGCTGCCAGTCCAACTGAAGCTATTCCTGTCAAAAGAGGAAGGAGGGAGACGTTTAAAGATATTTGCACGTTCAACTCTACATAATTCAGTTTTCAGTTTTCTCATACCAACAAGGATGGACCAAGATCTGATTCCAGGAGATCTCTTCAAATGAAGAAGCTCAGATGTGTGTTTTTCTACAATCATATAGCCCATCTGTTAGAACACAAACACAAAGATGTTAATAATAGGTGCTTTTGGGCATTTCCTGTAGCATCACAATAATCATAACATGCTAGAACAGGCTTAGTAAACAAAACACAAAAGTGTATCATGAACAGTGAGTTACAGAATATGAAATATTAATAACAAGCACAAAGACAACACCCTAACGTGATCACAGATCTCCTGTTATTAACTGACAGCACGTGAAAGTATCTGACATCACTTACCTCGTTGCTTTGCTTTCTCTCTTTAAATAAATGAATCTAATTGATTTCAATATTTATTTAATCTTAAATGTAGACATTTGCAACGGAAAACTCTTGAAAAACAGATTAAGGAAATAAAATGTGTAGCTCACAAAACGAACTCAACCCCGCCTTCTGATGACGTTAACTTCCGCCTGCGTTCCGATTGGATAAACCTATTAAAGGACCCGCCTTCTGTATTTTGACGCCTCCTTCCTCTACACGATTATGAATATATTGTAAGTTCAGAGAGAGCGTGAGTTGTGGCACGTGCATAATCTAAAACATAGCATCGAATTAAGCGATAGATTGAATACTATATTAAGCAAGTTGAAAATTGCTATTAATTCAACCCGTTTTAGCACCAATTCTATGTCCTCAAATCTTCTAACTATATCAAATCATTTTATATGCGGTTACATGACATTGGTCGGTCCAGGGGGAGTTCACACCAGAGTTGCTGAATCACGCATGCGTATCGATCCATGCGAGTCATTCTTGCAAACCGGTTCTTTCAAACAGTTTGATTCTATGAATCGGTTCTTTTTCAATTAATTCAATGCCACACGAACTAAAGGTACATATTAAAATAGTTTTTGAAAAAGAAAATAAAAAATAGACATTTTACATCAAATTAAATTTAGAGGATTAGATCTTTTGTTTTGTTATTCTAAAAGATTTGCATATGGCTTGAAGCCATTCACAAAATGGGAAAGGTTTGGTTTACAGTGAGCCCACTTTTTCTTATGTATATGGTATTTTCCTAATAACATAAACAAATTAAAAATGTATTGTCCTTTACAATTCAAGTTCTCATTATCAGAATAAGACTATACATCAAATAAACTAATTTCTATCTTATGCTCCATTTTTTTGTTATTAAACAATTCCAAATCTTTCCAAAAATATTAAGAATCGATTCAAAGAAACAAATCAAATGGTTTTTACGTCATAACAAATTTATAACGTTGTGTAATCAATCATATTGTATAATGATACTATTAAAATATGAACAATATGCTTATTGAATTTTTTTAATCAGCTCATGTTTTGAGGCAAAATAAATCGCCTCATTTTAAAAAGAAAACGTTATTCAGTCTTTCAGTTACTCAATTTTCGATTTAAACATTATTAACCTGCATAGTTAACCCTAATCCGGATCACAGCGAGTATTGGAGGTTTTTCATTATTTAATCTATATTATTTTTTCGATTTATGACAAACCAGGCGTCATAAGTCATCATAAGAAGTCATAAGACTGAGCTCACAGTTGATCGTTTATGAAAGAGACGATTCGGTGATTCACTGAGTCGGTGACTCACAAACGGTTGATTTGGTTGATAAGATCCGACTCATAAGGACGATTCATTCACGAATCGGACACCGCTAAAGGACAATGGAGACGGATACGCTGGTGCGAAGCCGAGACGCGATCCTTCTACCGAGAATGTGGCCCTTTGGGATTATTCAGAGTTGTGAAACGTTTGACCAGAGGAACATTAGCGTTTTATGACCGCAGTGCGCCGTTCTCTGATGACCAGCTCGAGCTTTTAAGTGTCAATAGGAGAGGAGAAGTTCCTGCTGCTGTGCTCTGCTGTGTCTTCTGGGTTTCCCCTGAACAATAAGGACTTCATATGATTTTTTTAACGTGAGTTACGAGGCCTGTTTCTGTTTTGTTACTGTTTGTGGCTTATTTCAGTTCTCAGTGATTCTGCAGTGTTGGGTTATGGTACAGGTTGTTGTGTAAATGCCACGGGTTATCTGAGGAAACCGAAGTTCTTGTTCTCTGTCATTTATATATCACCCTTTGGTGAGAAGATGAATGTAATCCAACTGCTAAACCCGTCATTATGTACAAAAGCATGAAAATCCCCAAAACAGCAATTGGGTGAAACTGAATAGCGCACATCATGGGAACCTTAAATTATCACCTTTCCTTTAAATTGGTGCTTGTGTCAATATTTGAGGTTTATAGTTGGCTTTACTGTAACTCTATTTTAATTCTAACCCCCTCTTCATGATTAATATGTGTTTTTGGGGTCACATAACACCCATAATGCTCTATAAAACCAGAAAGCGTCTGTTAACTTTCACTCACAGGAATTATTTATGGCACTGAATGTTTCAGAGTCTCCCATTACAATGTCTGAAGTCAAAATTGGACGGAAGAAAGAAAAGTGTGAGAACTGCACAAAACAGGTAATATTCTTATTTATTATTTCACACTACTCTTTAATAATGTAATAAAGCCATGATTCACCATGAAGTCTTAACTACTCACCCTCAGGCCTAAGATCTTCTTTTCTTTGGTCAAATTTTAAGGATCATTTCTAGTTGAAACTACATTTCTTTAATGATTATAAAATTAAGTCAATGTTTCCAGCACTTGTATCTGCATTGAGGTCTTTAAAGCCAAATAATCAGTCTGCAAGAAACGGAACATTTTTTACAATGTTATTACGTTTATCGCTCTATGGAGCCAGATCAGTCTCAAAAATAATACATTTACAAAATAAAATTCATACAGACACAGCACATTTCACATTTACAAAATCTACAGTAATTTGAAAACTCAAAACACATTTCATAAATGCAAAACACAATGTGTGAATTCACAAGAAAATAATAAATATTTTCGCGAAATGAATAGGATTTGTGTATTTATGAATTGTGTTTTGATTTTATGAATTGGATTTGTGTATTTATGAATACTGTTTTGAATTTATAAATTGGATTTGTGTACGTTTGAATCCTGTTTTAAATTTACTAATTAGGTTTGTGTATTTATAAAATGCGTTTTTAATTTATAAATTGGATTTTTGTATTTATAAATCGTGTTTTGAATTTACAAATGAGATTTGTGTGTTTTTGAATCATGTTTTTAATTTACAAATTGTATTTGTGTTTTTGAATCGTATTTTGAATTTACAAATTGGATTTGTGTATTTTTGAATCGTGTTTTAAATTTACGAGTTGGATTTGTGTATTTATTAGGGGTGTAACGATTTATCGTTGTACGATTTATTGCGATGCAAAAATGTCTCGATATGCATCGTGGCGTTATGACGATTTGAATACGATATGACATCCGTTTTCTCTTATTAGTTGAGCTGTCTGCACGTGGGTTACGTTCCACCTGCTGTCAAACGTGAGTTCAGATTGCAGCAGCAGTAATGTTAGCAGACCAAGATGAGTGGAGTTGAAATAGAGAATGGCCCATCCTCTCAAAATCAGACGTCTGGCAACATTTCGGTTGTCCAGTCATTGCTTTAGACTCGTCCGCTTTTTGACACGCATACTGGGTCAAACATCCTAAGTTTTAAAGTCTTCACAGTGATTTACATACTTTGCACAGCGACATGGATACCTCCTAATGGTGTTGAAAGAGTCACATACTGTATTTATAAGGTACAATTCACCCTAAAATATCATTCTGTCTTCATATAATGTTGTATTGGCCGCCGCAAAATCACACATGACGTGAGATGTTACTACAGAGGGCGGAATATGATAGACGCGCGCGTATGGCAAGCCGTTTTAGCATTTAAACCTTTGATCTGACTATCCATAAATATATTTAGAGATATCTCTAATTATATTTTGACTAGTCATAATTATAATTCGACTAGTCAAAATATAATTAGAGATATCTCTAAATGAATTTAATTAAATATGAATTAAATATATTTATGGATAGTCAGAACAAAGGTTTAAATGCTAATACGGCTTGCCATACGCGCGCGTCTGCTTCAGTGAACAGAACCTGCAGGTTGTGACTAATAAAGTAGTAAACAACATTCAGTTTGTGGAACAGAATGATCTTTCAGGAGCTGCGTGGGAAGTATAAACAGCACTTAGCAGTGGAAATGAAACCGAAAACGTACACATTATTTAAACAATCATATCGCATTTTAGAGTTATGAATACGACGAGCATTAACCCTTTTGAGTACATAGGTACACAAAAATGCACGTCAACATAATACACTTGATAGCGCCGACATCAGCGACGCCGAAGAAATAGTAAACCTGCCTAAACTGCTGAAAAGAGTCACGACTGTCCTTTGTAATGAAAAGACGGCCACCCTGTCACTCATCATGCCCAACATGAAGACAGCCATCCATAAAAACCTCTCAGACAGATACACATAAGTTCAGGATTATCTTATAGAACTGCTGATTACCTGGAAATGTGAATTTTTTTTTGCACACAGAAAAAACACAAGTGACCAAGCAAAGCCTTAAGCTCTTACTGTTAAATTTAATTGAATAGAAAGCTTATTTTTTTGCACTTTTACTTATATTGTTCCTTAATTTTGTCTCTGTCATTTCAATAATATTTTTAAGAAGTTTTTAAATTGTTTTATTTTCCAGAGACAGCCTGTTTAATTTATTTTCTTAAAGAAGGTTCAGTTTAACAAGTTGAAACAAAAGAAATACATAAAAAATAGTTTACTTGGTAAAATTTGCATTTCAGTTAAATTTTAAATTTTTATTCCAAATAGCGTGATACATATCGAATCGTAAACATTATATCGTGATACACATCGTATCGTGAGCTGAGTGTATCGTTACACCCCTAGTATTTATGAATCCTGTTTTGAATTTAAAAATTAGATTTGTGTATTTTTGAATCGTGTTTTTAATTTACAAATTGGATTCATGTGTTTTTGAATCATATTTTGAATTTACGAATTGGAATTGTGTTTTGAATTTACGAATTGGATTTGTGTATTTATGAATCCTGTTTTGAATTTATAAATTTGATTTGTGTTAGTTTATTCGTGTTTTGAATTTACTAATTGGATTTGTGTGTTTTTGAATCGTGTTTTGAATTTACTAATTGGATTTTGTAAATGCATTATTTTTTGAGACTCATCTGGCTCCATATTTCTTTGCCACATCAAACTGTCCAGCATCAAAAGCCACATGTATTTATTTGTTTTCTCTGGCTGTTTTAGGTGTATGCATCATTTTGTATATTATTTATTCTGTATATGAACCTCCAAGGACCACAGGTTCATCTAAAAATCTTTAACATTATACTAAAGAAAAAAACTCGCCTGCAGGCAAATTGGATGGTCAGAGTGTGAATAAATTGCCCAAAAAATGTAATCTTTTTGTGTATAATTCACTGATATTTCCTAATTGTTTCTATCTTAATCAGAGACTCCTCATGTGATTTATTCTTTATACTTGTAACTTGGGCTGCATGATATTGGAAAAAATCTAATAATGCGGTTTTAATTTTTTAAATTCTGTGATATATATCTTGCAATATGAATACAATTTCACTAAAGTAGTTGAATAACCATTTGGAAAGAATTTATAATTGTAGATTGATTTTGATATTTCTGTATAGAAGTGCATAAAATATAATAAATAATCTACAAGCGTTGATAAATTCATTAAAGAAAAAGTTACAAATTATGTAAACATTGTTTTCTGACAAGTCAAACTGTATTTATGTAAACAGCAATTAAATAATCAAATGTAAAATAAAACCACATAGTCTTCATTTTATACACAATTCAATGAAATGTATGGTGAACAATTTGTAATACTTTTGTAAATATCTGTTAATAATAAGTTACAAATGGTGCAGTTTCATACGATTCAATGTTTAAAAATCCTCACACAGTCACAGGCCTCAAAAAACACTTGCAGAATGATCAGTTATAATCCAGACTCAACATTGCATATACTGACGATGTGACTATTGCGAATGGTCACGTTGCTATATTAATGCTGAAACGATATATTGTGCAGGCCTACTTGTAACCTTTGTATTGCTTAAACACTCATTGTGGTTTATTTTCTGTTCCACTTTATAGTGCAACAAGAAACAAAGTGATGAAAGTATAAACTCACTTCAAGAGAAAGGTGTTGCCAGTGGAGAGGTACTCTATTGTCTTTTATTTTATATACTTTGTGTATCAGACACAGTGCAATCTGATAAGCTGCGGTCTGCATCTGTTGTTTTGTTTGTGTTTGTATTGGGGTTGGATGAAGAAATGCAAACCTCATTTGTTTTGGACGCGTGCATAATCTGATACGTGAATTTATTTGTTTTTCGTCCCAGGTGAGAGAGTCTACCTCAGTTCAGCAGGTGTTGCTGAGTGCGTGTCTGTCCTGTGACGGCTGTATATCGGAGGATGAAGGCAAGAGAATATCACAGCAGAATCTGGACGAGATCAATCACGTGCTTGCTCTCAACAAGGTAGCGTTTGCCTGTCATGGATTTGGAAAGATGGTTTGTTGATGTATCTTACATTTGTCTTTTTATTTTTGGCAGAAATGTGACACTTCGAAGCACAAAATTCTCGTAGTGTCCGTGTGTCCACAGTCGGTGCCATTTTTTGCTGTTAAATTTCAGTTGGACGTTTCAGCAGCTGCACAGAAACTTTGTGGCTTCCTCAAGAGTGTGGGTACGTCTGGACGCCATATTTCATCTTTCTACATCCAGCTGGTTTTTCTGTTTTTAACCGAGTCAAGATGTGCACATTGCAAATATTTACTGCAATGCAGTCTATGCTCATTTGCACATATTAGGTTTATTTTAGTATCGTTTCTAATATTATTTTATATTGGCTTATATATTAAGTTAATTTTATTAAAGTATCAGAAACGCCAGTTCCCTGGACTGTTTTAAGAAACTTCTCAAAACTCATCTTTTTATTATTGCTTATAACTTATGAGGCCTTCTTGTAATATGTATATTTTTAGCATTATTATCATTCTTACTTTTTTGTGTATTTCATGTTCTTCTGTGTGTTGATGCTCTTGTTAGCGCTTTGAGTTTGAGAAAAGCGCAATATAAATAAAATGTATTATTATTATTATTATTATTATTTTATTATATTACTTTATTAATGTTAAAGTTTTAATATCGTTTTTGTAGGGTTGTTTTATTTTATATATGTTTTTTGTTTTACTTTTTAGGTTTAATTTATCTGAATTTATTTATTCAATTAATTTTAGTTGCAGTTTTTAAATTATTATTTTATTTTATTTTCAAGCTTGTGTCAGTCGCTGATTAATATTTATTTATTTATTTTATTTTTAATTTTTTTGAACTTGTATCAGTCCCTGAGTAATATTTCTCTATTTATTTATTTATTTATTTTATTTTATTATTTTTAAACTTGTGTCAGTCCCTGAGCAATATTTCTTTAATTAATTAATTAATTTATTTTATTTTATTTTTAATCTTGTGTCAGTCCTTGAGCAATGTATTTTATTTATTTATTTATTTATTTATTTTAGGCTTGTGTCAGTCCCTGAGCAATATTTCTCTATTTATTTATTTTTTTATTTTTTTATTTATTTAATTTTTTAAAGCTTGTGTCAGTCCCTGAGCAATATTTTTCTATTTATTTATTTTAATTTATTTAAACTTGTGTCAGTCCCTGAGCAATAGTTTTCTATTTATTTATTTATTTTATTTTATTTTTAATCTTATGTCAGTCCCTGAGCAATATTTCTCTATTTATTTATTTATTTATTTATTTAATTAATTTTTTAAAGCTTGTGTCAGTCCCTGAGCAATATTTTTATATTTATTTATTTTATTTTATTTAAACTTGTGTCAGTCCCTGAGCAATAGTTTTCTATTTATTTATTTATTTTATTTTATTTTTAATCTTGTGTCAGTCCCTGAGCAATATTTCTCTATTTATTTATTTATTTATTTATTTATTTAATTTTTTAAAGCTTGTGTCAGTCCCTGAGCAATATTTTTCTATTTATTTATTTTGTTTTATTTAAACTTGTGTCAGTCCCTGAGCAATAGTTTTCTATTTATTTATTTATTTTATTTTATTTTTAATCTTGTGTCAGTCCCTGAGCAATATTTTTCTATTTTATAATTTTTTTAAATTATTTGTTTTTAAGCAAATTTTTATTTAATTGTATTTTATGCTAATATTATATATCTAACTTTACTTGACTATAAAACCCATTTAACATGTGAGACATGATTTATTTGATTCCATTTTAAAGGTTTCTTTTATCTGTCTCCTCAGGGGTTCATTATGTCTTTGACACCACCATAGCTGCAAGTTTTAGCATTTTGGAAAGCCAGAGAGAATTTGTTCAGCGCTATCGTCGTAAACATCATGACGCTAATGCTATGCCTATGTTCACATCCTCCTGTCCAGGTAAGACAATCCTGATTCAAGTATATGCTCTTTTACATCTCTTAAAGTAGGAATACACTAATTTTACTCCACATCGCATGTTCTTTTATTAAATCTGTATTGGCTAATTGAATCATTAGGTTTGAATCAAAAAGAAAGGTTGCATCTGGGCACATGTGCAACCTGCAAGACAAAATAAGCATCCCTTATTTTTCTGTCTGAACGTCAAGTCTTAGTGTTTCTCATAACATTTCATCTCTTGGATAAGTTAAATGCAGTGCAGTTGTGTGTGAATGGGTGGGACTGGGTTAGATAGCCATAGCATTCTGCAGCTGTGAGATAGATGAGTGTACGCCACTTTACACACCCTTCCTGCTCTCCTCATAGCTTTCCTCCTTACCCCCAGAGCAGTGTTTGTTACTCATGAATGATTATTAACTCATTAAGCTAATGTGTTTACCAGATGCCTTTTACAATACATTTAACTTAGTCCTATCTGGTGAGGAGACCTGTTGATGCAATATTTTGATGACAGACACAACCATTAACTTTTTGTTTGGAAATTAGTTTCTTACAGATGGTTAATTATTGATATGTTGGTTTAAAATATTATGTTTGTAATTTTCTTTTTTTCTCTCTTTTTTAGAGTGTAGCTGTTGGGTTAATATTAGTTTTTCAGTTAGATTCAAAATAGGGTTGGGCCCATATACAATGCCATTGTCCATCGCTGATGGCCAATATACAACATGATGCTGAGCCGGCATCGCCGATCCTCCTCTCCAGCTCGCGAAAAATACACACTCAGGCCCCGTTTACACTAATACGTCTTCGTCTTAAAATGGCATTTTAGAACGAAAATGATCCACATCCACACTGTGTTTTACCTAGCATTTCTGAACAGCCCTCCGTCTGCTGAAAACGCACATCACGTGACCAAACACAGACACACACAATGTCATGCGCTCGTCTGAGCTCCAGTGAGCAGTGCACATTGGGTAGTTTATCAAGCATGTACCGCTAGATCGCATCTCACTATTTTGTTAAACGTGATATTCGGACATCCCAAATCTCCCGGAAGTTCCGGGAGTCTCCCGCAAATGCATAGAGATTCCCAGATGCCCGTCTCCCTCCTGGTCCTTAAATAAATCGCATACCCTTCTCACCCCTCGCCACCGGACTGTCAAATACATCGTCCATTGCGATGTTTCACATTAGACATCGTACAATGCCAAATTTGTCGACATCGCCCAACCCTAATCCAAAATAGATCTATGACAATGCATCATTTTGAGAATAGGAGAACACACATTGTTTACATTAGGGTTTTCTTGTGGCAAAAAAATATGTTAATTAACCTTTTTCTGTGTCTCACATTTCACAGTTTTCTCCATATTTACGGTTTTGAATTGCTTTATGGTACCTTTATGCTTTTGTAAAACGTTAGCGTTGGAAATTTCTGCAGATTGAATATTGTTGGTTTTGGATTTTTGTGTTTGTGCGCAGGATGGATTCGCTATGCAGAGCGGGTTCTTGGTAGCGTGGTCACACCACACATCTGCACCGCCAGATCACCTCAACAGATCATGGGCTCCTTGGTGAAAAACTTTTTTGCCAGACAGCAGGTGAGAGATGAGAACCTGTCCTGGATTCCCTGGAAATAATCAAGCAAACTGATGTAGATAAAAAAAAAAAATTGATTTGTACATGTACACCAATTAATGTATTCCTCTTTTAAATTGATGTATTATTTTAAAAGTTATAATCAGGGCTGCTGAATGCTTCTGATTGGCTGAGGAATGTAGTAAAGTGTGTGGGTATTTTCAAGAAAACACACAGCTTAAGTAGCATTGCAGTTCCATATCAATTTGCTGAATATTTTGTCCTTTCAAAAGTCTTTAGAGCTTGCGCTGGGAGAAGAATCAAAATTTATAAGTACACACTCGATATCACCAATGCTGTGGAAAGCATTTTTTTACTATAAAGGTTTTTGCCTTACATAGACTCCCTGACACACACACCTTGATTTAAAATATCACTTGAGGTTACATGTGGTAGTATTAATAGGTTTTTAAACGACCAAAGTTTGCCTGTTGTGTGGGCAATATTTTTCATTAATTCAGTGTTTTTTCTTCTACGAGTAGACATGTGTGTTGATTTTATCACATGTATCACAATCATGTAAACGGCTCATTTTCTTGTTAGTGATGCACTGTATCTATTTTGTATGTAGAAACTGACCCCAGAGCAGGTTTTCCATGTGGTTGTGGCACCCTGCTTTGACAAGAAGCTTGAAGCTGTGAGAGATGAATTCTACAACAGCATCTTGGAGAGCAGAGACGTGGACTGTGTGCTCACGTCAGGTATGATTAAGATACTGGCTTTCTTCTCCTGTTGCCTTCTCAGATTAATTTTTAACCGGTCTAGATAAAATCGCTTGGATTTAGTTGCCCAAATATGTATTTTTTCACTCTTATTTCGAGGCTAAAATAATGTAAAACTATGTTTAAGTGTGCAAATAATACAGCCTTTGAATGGTTGTGAATTCTTAAAAATTCCCCATTGGGTCTTTCCTTCCTGGAAATGAACAGCAGTATCTGTTGTGTGTTCCAGAACAGCAGGTTTGAGTGGAGGGTGTTTTTATGATCTTTGAACTCCTGAAACCGCACTTAAATGATTGTTTGGTTTTAGGAGAGATTCTCCACCTGATGGAACAAAGCAAAGTCACTGTTGAGGAAGTGGACTCTGCTCCTTTGGATCATGTGTAAGTTCAGTTTATAGAAAAAAAACTACAACAACACTGTAGATCTTCAGGGGGCTGTACCATAAAGACAGATTAGCTTGCTAGCCAGTTAAGTTTCAGTTTAATGTGCAGCAATCCTGGGTTTTAGGTACTATTGAGGTGTTTTTTGTGCCATGGCAATAAATAGTGACTGCTAAAACCATTTATGTTACGTAAAACCACAAATTGCTACAAACTAAAATTGCTGCCCCAGGTGTCAAAACAGGCATTGTCCTGAAAATAACCATATAATTTACAATAAAAGGCAGTGATGAGACTAGATAATTATTCTTTTGTGTGTGTGTGTGTGTGTGTGTGTGTGTGTGTGTGTGTGTGTGTGTGTGTGTGTGTGTGTGTGTGTGTGTGTGTGTGTGTGTGTGTGTGTGTGTGTGTGTCTGTGTGTGTCTGTGTGTGTGTCTGTGTGTGTGTCTGTGTCTGTGTCTGTGTCTGTGTGTGTGTGTTTTGGTTTAGAATTGGTGAGATCAGTGACTCGGGTTTGACCAGACATGACGGTCGTGGATCTGAAGGCTTCCTGGAACACATTTTCAAACATGCCGCCAAGGAGATTTTTGGCCTAGATGTCCAAGACATTGTGTACAAGACACTCAGGTGAGAGACGGACCAGTTCATTTTTAATTGGGATCTCCGGCAGCTACAGATATAATAAAGAAACTCCTTGCATGTTCTCAGTTTCCGTGGTTGTACTAAATTTATTAGGTATCTGTATGAGTTTGAGTAAAACTATTGTCATTTAGAGCAGTGGTCCCCGACCTATCACCGCAGACCAGTTGACGCTGTTCTTGTCACGTGACTCGCTCAAATGATGGCGATGTAAGAGAATACGGTCATTTTTCAAAATAATAGATTTTTTATAATAAAAGATCATTTGACTCCGACAATAAATAAATAAAACAGAAATAATTAATCACCCAGTGAGTGGCCTGGTACTAATTGATCCACGGACCGTTACCGGTTTGCGGCTTGGTGGTTGAGGACCGCTGATTTAGAGCATTTTCCAGAAAATGGCAAGTGGTCTGAGTAGCAGGTATTTCCATCGTTCGGTTATTCCACCAAATTTAGCTTTCTTAATCTAAAATGTTGTTTGCTTTCTTAAGTTTAAATATTTGTATTGTAATAAATACAAGCATTGTTGGTGGAAAGGCTTTTTTGTTATTTGGTGAATGTGCTTGTGTAGTGGAAATTCCATCAGTAGTAAAAAAAAAAAACACATTGTGCATTAATGAAGTGTCTCTCACACAGGTTAGTGGGCTTGACAAACCACCTGGAGAAACACTTTTCTCTCTAAATACATTAAAAAAACTTCCTTCTTACTCTAGCATTTAATTCTCTGAGCATTAACAGTTTGTATAATTAGCACTTGTGTGTATTGCCTCTCCTTTTGAATTGCTGAATGCTTGCTCAGTTGTAAGTCACTGGATGAAATCACGTGCTAGCTGAATATATGTAAATGTAGTTTGCCAAAGAATGCAAAAAAAATAAAAAATTACACAAATGCATGACTAAACCTGTAATTGCAGTGAAGATGAGAATTTCCAAGTGTTTTATTTTTTATTTAAAGCATCTTATTTTTCCCATAGCTGTTTATGGGTCATCCATGCAAGTTGAAATCACTTATGGCCAATAATCCTTGCATTGCCTGTTTCGTTTCCGGTCAGGAATCGAGATTTCCAGGAGGTGGCGCTGGAGCGTGATGGAGAGACACTTCTGCAGTTTGCTGCAGTCTATGGCTTCCGGAACATTCAGACTTTAGTGCACAGAATGAGGAAAGGCAAAGTTCCTTACCAGCTAATAGAGGTGCTATCCTGCCCTGGAGGTATGAAATAACAAATATTACATTTATTTCATTTTAGGTGTTTAACTTTAAGGGCTCATTATAAATTTAAAAATAAACCTAAATATTTTATTACAAAGCTTGCATAGTCATAAGACGGTAGATTATTAACAAATATTATTATTCATTAATGATTAATTACATTTTAAACACAATCATTTATTCTCAGAAACACTGCGTTTTTTTGTCAATATATATAGTGGATTTTTTGGCATGTTAAGATATTATAACAATTTAAAATAATTCCTTCTTTCAAATTGATTTTAAAATGTATAAAACATGCTTGCATATTTCAAATGAGTTTGCATTGTCAAAGGACACCTTGATATTGCAGTATTTTTTTATTATTTGAAAGGGCTGGAAATGTTGTGGAAAATAGTAAATATTCAAGGTTGCTTTTTTGGTCTTTGGAAATAAGAGTATCTTCTGATCACCAAAGCTGCATTCATTTAAAAAAATACAACAGAAGGTTTAATATTTTAAGCAATTTTTACAAGCTTAAATAATGTCATTTGCTAAATACACTTGTCAAAAAGGTTTGCATGATCATTGCTGGAATAACCAGGACAATTTAAAATTTTGAGGCCTGGAAAAGTTCTGGAATATAGTTAGTTTTCTTTTTGCTACAAAAAAAAAAAGTTTCTTATGTTTAAGCGTTTATGTAGCAAACATGTGTTATGTATTTGCATGGTCATAGAAATGATAATAAAGTTTCACTTTTAAACGTAGTGGGTTTTGCTTCAACATTTTCTGAGTGACAAATCTATTAGATGGACATAGATAAATAAATAAATAATTAATGATGATATCCATTCATTAATAACAATAATACTAGATGTACACTTTTATAATTACAAATAAAAGTATAATTGGACACCCTTTACTATAAGATTTCATTAGTTCATGTATTTACTAACATGAACTAATTATGAACAGTACTTATACATCATTTACTAATGTATTATTAACGTTCAAATTCATGCTTGTTAACATTAGTTAATGCACTGAACATAACGTCATTAACATCAACTAACAATTAACAACTGTATTTTCATTAACTTTACCAACATGAACGCATACTGCAATGTATTTCTTATTGTTTGTTCATGTTACTCGATGCATTAACTAACTTTTTTTTTGTCTTTTCAGGCTGTTTAAGTGGGCGAGGACAAGCTGAAGGAGAGGGAGGTCGACCAGACCGGACTTTAGTCCAGCAAATGGAAGAACATTACAGCAGTTTACCCGTCCGACTGCCAGAAACCAATCCGGAGGTCCAGCGCCTCTACCAGGACTGGCTGGACGGCCACGATTCTCCACATGCACAGCAGAGCCTCCACACTCAGTACAAAGACCACACACACCTGCCCGCTCACATAACAAACCCTGACATTCAATGGTGATTTCCACATGTATGAAACCAAACATGGCATTAACAGCACCAATCAAGACTGAACGCTTAATGCCATTTTGAAGTTCATACGGACTGCACTGTGTCTGCAGTGAAAGAAAAGCTGAACGGAGGACCAAAGAAAGGCTTCTTGCTCTATGCATTGAATCAGACTGTGCTTTATTAATAAGAAGACTTCGTTCGTTCACTAGTTTCTGGAACTTTTATTCCCATTGCACCTAAATGATGTCATGCATGGATGGGCAACTAGCCATCACACAGATGCTAAAGTGTTTTCAAAACCAATAACACAAGGCAAAAAACTGACTATTAACTATTAAAATTGATTACTGGACCCTGTACATATGTACTGGAGATGGTTTGTGTTTGATTACTGCTGTAAAAAAGTGCTAACGAGTACATATTGGTGCTATGAATCAATTAAAAAAATACCCGTCCACCATAAAGTGTAATTTATTGCTATGAAACATGCGTGGACTAATTTTAACCTTGATTATAATATTATTTAGATTAATTATCTGTTTTAATAGCACATACATAAGTTACACCTAGGCCCACACTGCTTGCGCAGAATTCCGCAGAATTTCCGCAGATTTTTCACAGAATTCCGCAGATTTCTGCAGATTTTTAGCCCATTATTAATTCTGTTTTTTAACTTGAGTAAATGTGTAAATCTGAATTTATTCAGTTTTTATTCAGTAATTTATTACTTTTTTATTTAATATATTAAGGGTTTAGTTATGATACTCCGCTGGATACTCCCAAAATAATTCCGCAGAAATCCGCAGATTTTTACCAAAATTCTCCGCAGAAATAGCAAAAAAACATGGTTATATGGCCCTGGTTATACCCATAGATTTATGCATTTTTAATGAACATTAAAAAAAAAAAAGACGTTTCTATTACCTTTTGATAGTTCCCTCAAAAATGCTGTCATCCTTTACTCATTTTCCGCTTGTTCAAAATCTTTTCTTTCTTCTTAGAACATAAAAGAATATGCTTGGAAGAATGCTGGATGCAATAGACGTATGGCCTGTTTCCACTGAGTGGTATTGTATGGTTCGGTACTTTTTTATGGCCATTTCCACTGTCAAAAGGAACCAAAAAGCGAACCGTAACGTACCACTTTTTTGGTACCCTTTCGACAGAGTTCCCACTACAACAAAAGGGTATCAAAAGGCGGAGCAAGACACGCAGCTGAATGCTATTGGTTTTCAGCGACATCACTAGCTTGTGCACAAGCCAAGAGAATGAAACAAAGGAAGCGCTATTTTTAAATACACAGCCGAGACATTACATTGTAATAATAAATACATATAATAACAAGCCATGGTTGACCCGAGCTTAAACAAACCTTATCGTTGTCTTAATGAACATCCACAAAACCAAGAAGAAGAGCAGATTCTACCTGTTGCCTCGTAGTTTTTTACAAGGCTGTCTAAAGTGAAAGCGGTTTCGCTGTCTTGACTGCGTTCGTTACATGTCTATATTTGAATTAACAAACTTCCTGAGCTGATGATGATAATGTGCGTGTGATTATTGAAGTGCTTCTGACATCCGATCCTTTCAGAAATGGACAAATATGAGAGTCACATGTGAAAAAACAAAGGAGTGAATGATTGTTTCAGCAACCTAAAACGAACAAACTGCCATGTTCAATTATTATCATCCCTTTTGGACTAATATGAACCCCGAATGATGGGATGACTCTCTAACAGAGGTTACATGTGCTGCTGAAGATTAAAGATACAGATGAGAGGTTTGCTGTGACTGTGGGCTGTATATTGCGTGTTGTTTTTGAACCCAAGTAAGGACTTAATGTATGTGTGTGTACTTTTTGTGTTGTTGGTAACCGAGACTGTAAGGGTCTGTATGTGTTCATATATGTTGCATTTATTTATTTTATATAATTGCAGACGTTACAGTAGGCTATTTTGCAGTAGGCTATTATCATTGATCTGCAGTTATAATCAAATCATCATAGAAAGGTTAGTACTGAACATTTATACACAAGTATTTATGTGTATAAAGCATCTGTTTTGTGAGAAGTGCTTTTCATATGATATGTGATACAGCCTTCTGTACCAGATACACTTTTGGCAGTGGAAACGCAAACCTGCCAAAAGTGACCCGTACTGTACCACTCAGTGAAAACAGGCTCTTAGAACTTACCACATTATTAATATTTTGTTTGGATGACAATGACTACTGCTTTCCAACATTCTTCAAAATATATTGTAAAAAATATAAAGACTCATGAAAATTTGGCGAGCACATTTTCATCTCTTAAATTGTTGATTGGATATTTGGGGGTTGCTGTATAATGTTGTTGGGCAGTGGCCATTTTCTTTAAGCTGCCAAAAGTGTGTAGATCAGTTGTGAAACTAACCCATATGTCGGCAGGAGGGTTAATGCATCTCTTACAAAGCTAAATCTGTGCTTTTTGTGACATTTTTTATGTTGTTTTTACATTTTAAACTTAAATCACTGACTATTGGCAGCTGCTGAATGTGTGTTCTTGACAACCTGGCTGACCTCTGACTTAACATATGACACAAGACACAGTTGAAGAGGAAGCTGCAGTGAGAGTAGATGAACGAGGGTAACCAAAGGGCAGTAACTAACTGGAAGTGAAAAATGAGAAGTTAAAAAGTCAGAGGATTTCACTGTGAGAGAAGAAGAGCTTGAGTTTTTTAGCTGGAGTACATCATCATGCATCATTCGGCATCAAATACTCGTTCATCTGCTGCTGGAAGTGATTTTGAGTTTATAATTTGAAATCATTTTTCTAATGAAAACACTTTAATGCTGTCTGTGCCAATAGTGTCATTGCACATCAAGCGTCGGGAGTTTGAGTCCCGGCTTGAGGACTTTTCTTGATTTCCCCACCTTTGCTCTCTTTACATCTACACTTCCTGTCTACATCAATCACCTTCTGAAGTTTGAGCGATTGGATATCTGATCAGAATAAAATTAATGAAGTGACCAAACAGCCTCAAAAACACAGATGTAATGTGAATATATTGAACATAAATATATTATATTAATTATATAATAAATATATATTATTAAATTGCACAAATTAATTAAAAGATCAAATGCTGGACCTTTTGGCCGTAGGGCTGGTTAGTACCAAGTAACAGGCTATTGGGTTATGTGAGCGCTAGATGGCGTTCTTGGATAAGAAGAAGTTTACCACCATTAGGAATTTGTCAGAGCAGTGTGTCCTAGCCGGGCTCACTCTCTGTTCTAATGTCCCGCATCTGTCTTTTTTTATATTCATCTGTCTCTATATTCTACTGCATCCCAGAATATTACACCTCACCAAAAATGTACAAATATATATTCAATATATTTAATATGTTTTTGTCCAAATGCCGACCGCAACTCGGCATGACGGAGATTCTTGAGTCTGTGTGCTCCAATGAGGTGTGCTCTCTTCAGCGCTCACCATGACAACAAGACTGACAGCAGTGACGTCGCATTGTAAACATTTGCATCTGCATTCCTATAAAGCTCGTCGATTCTCTCTGTGTTGTAAGTATACTCGGTGTTGCTGTTTGTACTTGACCAAGGTGAGTTCAATACCTGACGGTACGAGTGGAGCCACGCCAATCTCACGAAGTCCGCTTCGTGAAGCTTCACTCGGGCCCGTCTGTGCTTTAGTTCCTTGCGGTTTGTGTACATAAACGCAATATCGTGAAGAATATTATGTGTTTGTTGCTCGAAATGTGCCACCGAGCAACATTCCAGAGAACCCTGGCACGAACTGGGCCCCGGTTAGCTTTTGAGCCCTAGGCAGGGAACAAAACAAGCCCTGAGGACGCTCAGGGAAACAGGAGAGGCCGGTAGTGGGACCCCGCTTCGAGGGTTATGGTGGGTGGGAGCAGCGAGGCCCACTCATCGTCTATTTTAAACTATAGTTTCAAACTTTAGTTTACTATAGTGTAAAATAGAAACCATGGCAACTGTAATGTTTTAACTGTATGTCTGGCTGTTGTAATGTTTTGCTTTGTTTTTCAGCAGAGTTGTTTAGCAAAGAAGGACTATTGAAGACAACCGCTGAAGACAACCACGGGTTATATTCACGAACGTGCGCATTATAATGTTTCCGTGCTGTTTTCTGAAAGTTTATCTTGTTTAGATGTTACAGGTCAAACAAAATAAACTATACTCTTTCTAAACACATGTATCTTGCTGTATTTGTCCTCTACAGCAATACACTGTCATATAAGTCTGTTGAATGCATTTGTATGCAATATGGTTTGACAATAAAGTAGTCTTAACAAATAAATGGTTATAAATGTACCTTCATTAGTCAACATTTGGTGTAGGTAATAAAAAGTCAATCAAAGATGTCCTAAGACATAATAGTAATGTTATGGTTGTTACATAACTATTTATTCTGTATGTTTAAAACCAGCAGAATATGCTATATAACAGTGAAATATATTATAACTGTTATTCAAACATTTGCCTAATAAAAATGTCCTAAGACAAGAATGGGTATTGTTTTGGTTTTATGTCAAACTACTGTAGGTTTTAGGTTGTCTAGCAGGTTTAGGCTACCTATATCATAATATTGGTAGTCAGAGTTATTTTAATGACCCAAATCAAGTAAAATGTCTTTTACTCTGGTACTTTTCAGCATGCAAAAGTCAAATACCTTGTGAAAACAACCAGTGAATGGTGAGGAAAAAAGTTAATGTCAAGCTATATATATATATACATATTTATATATATATATATTTATATATATACATACACATTTTTTTTTCTATGTCCTGTGTAGTGCTGTCTTTTCTGTATCACAATGACATGATCTGGCAACAAATCACAGTACAAACCGCAAAAAAAAAAATAAAAAATTAGCCACAGTTTACATGAGAACATCTCTCCAGAGTACAGTTATATTGACAACATGTGTAGGTAATTTGACTGTTTTATCCGTACACAATGACACAGGCACTTTTCATTCTGACAACTTTGACATGTCCATTGAGAGATGAACTAAAAATTTTAAGCAAGAGACTGGCTTTTGTGGGTAATCCATGCTGTTTTGCTATTTGTATGTGCTGTTTTGAGAAATGCACTTAGTCTTTTGTAAATTTCAAATCTGAGAAATGAAACAAAGCGACTGAAAAAACTGGAACACAACACAAGTTAATGCAAAGATGAAAATGTGTATTTTATTTGCACATATTCTTTTTTAAAAATAGTAGTGTATACATAATTGGGGTTTTACTTTTTTTGGCTTAATAATTAATACTTTATAGTCTACTAATTTTGATGTAACCATAATAGTACAAAAAAAAGAGAGTCATGTATTGTAACACAGATA